TTATCATTATCACTTATTTTAGACCTATATATATATATATATATATATATATATGTATATATACATACAGTTACTTATGTTTATATTTTTATATTTTGTGTGTAATTTTGTATATACATATATGTGTGTTTGTATATGTATAGACGTGTATATCTGTATATGCAGTTGTATTTTTGGAGTTAGTATAAAAAATAATTAACCCTAACCCTGACCCTAACCCTGACCCTAAACCCTAACCCTAAACTTAAACTTAAACCTGAACCTAACCCTAACCCTAAACCTAAACTTAACCCTAACCCTAACCCTAAACCTAACCCTAACCCTAACCCTAACCCTAACCCCAACCCTAACCCTTCATAACTGTGAGAAATAAATATTTTTTGGTTAAACTTGTTTGGACTTTTTGTACAAACCTATTTAACATCCACTATTTTAACATAATATTATGGATAGAGTTTAATTCAGTGTTTGAAAGATTCATTTCACTATTTTTTTTTATGAATGTCTATATTGCCATGAAGCAATTAGGATTTTCTTGCCTGGGATCTTCCTATTGGTGACCTAATCAAAATGGCCGACTTGGATGTGGGGGAGTTGGATATCCATCCTTGGCTTCCTGCAGACTTGATTAATGTTGGCGTGTTGTTATTAGCCGTTAGCTGCAGCTAGCAATTCATTCATTCATTAAGCATTTTGATAAAGTCACAAGACTTAATCAAAATGGCCGACTTGGATGTGGGCAAACCAGCAAATTCCCGAACTATCCACCCAGTCTTTCAAACAGGGACAAAGGAAACCAGAAAAGGCCGATTTTTCCCCGATTATCAAACTGTTCTGTGGTTTTTTTGGAGCTTTTATCAGAGTCGTGACATCAGGGTTGCATTCAGGAACCGTGGGAGAAACCATACCTATTGCACCACTTTCAACTTTTATATCTAAATAAGAATCTATCACATTTAATGACGCATGGAGACAAAAAGAAATGCATAGTTTTGTACATTTTCCTCTAGAAAGATTAGAGATCTTTGCATAGCGGAGGAAAGAATTTAATTTAGATGGAGTTCCATGAGATGTACTTGAGTCTAAATGACCTTATATAAATACTTTGGGTCAGTTTTATGAAAAGAAATTAAAAAATGACTGCATACGATGTTTACCGACGTGGTATTTTTCTTTTTGTGATGACCAAAGTGCTGTCATTTACGGGTAGAGTCTATCGTCTTTAAGGGAAAAAGGAGAATTATAGCTGAGAACCGCAACTGTAAAAGAAACATGTTTTCTATCAGCTCTCTTTGGTTGGGATTTTTTGTTGTTGTAGCTTTTTTTTCTTTCAGATACCATTATGTGATTCTGTTAATGGTTTGAAAACACAATAAGGTTTCAAGTGGACATTTACTTCCTCGCGAGCCGCAGAGAAAAAAAAATCTAAATGCTTTCAAAAGCTATTGCTCAAGAACACTTTTGAGAGATTACAAGACAGTCTCTGGCTTTTTGGAAGTAAAAAGAAACAAAAAACAAAAGGGGCGAGGAGTGGCTAAAAACTTTAGCACAGAACTGTCAAAAAACCTTTTTAACCTCTTCTGGCTTCCACCAATAGTTTCACAGAGTGCTTCTTATTCCTCCGTTTGCACAAATACTAAGAGTTTCTGTTTACTGTGTTTTCATACATCTGAATTTTACTAT